ACGGCTTACTCGTTGGCGCGCATGCCGTCTGAGGCGGCCCCACAGACTACGCCTAGGGGCCGGGGCCTTGAAGTCAGCTGGCGTCCTTGCGTTGTTGATTGTTATGGCGCATTTGCAACATCAAGGAGACACCAGAAGGCTTTTTTCTTCGCTTGTCTGTCCCCTGGGGGTGCTCTGCTGCAACGCGCAGCTGTGGGGAAGAGGAGTAGGACAGGGAGGGAGGCTCAAGCCCCCGCGTCTCCGCTGTAAATCCACTGGACCCCGTATGTACAGAAGCAGGCTTGAAGAGGTTGTTGGCTGACTTCTCCTCTTCATCTGCATCCAGTTTCTCCTACTAACAGGACGGAGGGCTCAGTCAGGTCCGCCCCCCACTTCTGAATATAATATCGCATGCATCATCTCGAGCTACACTAGAATAATTTTTCTGTGATGCTGCTGATGTTGTGGGTGTTGGAATCCACTGCCTTCACAAACAGTACAGAAGTCTCAAGTGGGGGTCTTCAGCCCGCGCCCCTCTTTGCGCTTCGCCTGCTCTACGCTGGAGTGTGTGTGTGGCTTGGGGTGTGCAGCCTTCGCAGTGCGGTCTTCTGCATCGTCTCGATCTATATCACTCCGGAGCGACCTACACGTTCTTCTGATTTGTGTAGAGGCAAGAATAACACGCATAGACGAGAAAAACAAACAGGGAACGACAGGGTACGCGATATACTACAGACCCATAAGATGGTCCCTGGCTTGAGAGCTGCCGCCTTCGCGGCCTTCTTCAGTCTTCTTGGGGAGTCAAATGCAATAATCACACGGTCAGGGCCTTCTCAGTGCAACTCCCTCTCCTCTAGCCCCGCGTGCAGTTCGGCAAGCAAAGAACACACGCCCGCCCTGACATTCAGTCCCGTAGCCTTTGTTGGAGGGCTCAGGGTCTCTCCCAATCAGACCCAGCAGGTACGCCTAATGCATGCATTACTACTGATGCAGCCCCGCTATTCCTTCGTTCCCTTTGAAGCAGAGCGGCTGGGGAAAGACGGCCTTTTGGGGCCCCTAGTGTGTTATTTTCGCTACGCTACTGGAGTGCTGCGTTGTTCTGCAACAGGTCCAGCAGGATGGAACAGTCGAAGGACACAACAGGCCAACATCCCCTGCGTCTCCACCCCGTCGACTTCGTGTGGCTTCATCAGGCTCTCAAGTAAGGAACTCCGCGGCGGGGCGCCTAGCCCTGGTGGAGGCACACCGTTGCTGTTCTTAGGTACTAGGGTTTGCTTCCGCCCGCTTCGCCTGCATTTCATGATGTTTGTCGTGTGTGCATGGATGCTTCGTGGTGAGGGTCACTTGAGCACAAGCCGGTGCTCTTTCACAGTCTGCTTATGAGGGCTTTGAACGAGAGGCCCCGCTACCTTATACGCGACGCGGGGCGTTAGACTGAAGGCAGTAGCTGTTGGGCGTCATTCCTCGATCCGCACCGAAGAGAAGCAACAGCAGCAGCAGGGCAGCTTTGCCGCTCTTGCTGCTGTTGCGGCCCTTTTTGGAATGCTTTTTGCTCGCTCTCTCGT